AATAAAATACAAAATAGGGCTGGGGATGTGGCTCAATGGTTGAGTGCCCCTGAGTTCAATCCCCGATACCAAAAAATAAAATAAAGTTAAAAATACATAAATAAATAATAAACTTGTTTATTCTGTTTCCTCTTTGACTAAGGCTAGGGTAGCAATTGTTTTCCCACCAACTGCTATATTTAAGTAAAAATTCATTAAATTTAGTTATTTTTAAAGTTGTTGTGTTAGTGATCAGATACCCATGAAAAACAATTTAGAGAAGAAAAAGTTTAATTTTAGGCTCAGTTTCAGAGGTCTCAATTCATGGTGGGCCAGCTTCATCACTCTGGGGCCCAAGATGAGGCAGAACATCATGGTGAAAGGGTGTGGCAGAGGAAAGCTGCTTTCCTCATGAAAACGAAATCAGAGCAAGTGAGATGCCCGGAATGAAATATAAATCCCAAAGGTATGCCCGTGATTTAATTTCCTCCAGCCATGCCTATACTTACCACAGTTAGTTCATTTATATTATTAATTTATCAAATGAATTAAACCTGTGATTAGGTCACAGCTCTCCTAATCTAATCATTTTATCTCCTGCATTAACCCAGGGGTTTTAGGGGGAAACTTCATATTCAAATCATAACAGTGGTTGATACATTAAAAATTGTCCCTTTCTTTTAAAATAAAGAGAAAGGGAGAAATGTGGGAAAAAGAAAGTGATAGGATTGCATAGTAGCAAGAGATATATTGTCWTTTTCACTTATATAGAAAACAGAAGATAGACACAGAAACTGAGATTTAGGTATTACTCATGAATACAATATCTTTGGTTTATTAAACAATTATGGGGCCTATGATGTAGTTCAGTGGTAGAGCTTTTGCCTTGCTTGTCCACACAGCAAACAACAAAGCAGTTATGTGGCTTGTACTGTATTAAGCATTTTACATTCATTATCTCATTTAATCTTTACAACTCCTCTATAGGGTGTGGATTTATTATGATTCTCACTTTATAGCCAGGAAACAGACCTAAAGATTCTAACTTGCCTGAGAACACTCAGTTTGCAAGCAGCTCCAATATGACTTTCAAGTCAACAGCAATGCCTCACTGCCTCTCTGGGGAGCTATGTGGATGAGACTGATGTTTGTTAAGTAGCTTTATTAAAGTTTGTCTTTCAATTTATAAAATACCTTAGAAACTTTCTCAGAAATTTGGGGGCTGGTGATGTATCTCACTGATAGAGTCCTTGCCTATCCCTGGCTTTGATCCCCCAGCACAAAAAGAAAAAAAGAAAGAAAAGAAAAAAATTATAAAATTTCAAATTATAAAAAGCATTGTGGCTGAGAATATAGCCCAGAAGTAGAGTGCTTACCTAGCAAGTGGGAAGTACTGAGTTCAGTTCCCAGCACCACACATAAAAATAAACTTAAAAATAAATATAAACTTAAAAATGTATAAAATACTTAGATGTGGGTAGCTCATGCCCATTATCCTAGTCACCTAGGAAGCAGAGGCAGGAGGATTCCAGGTGCAAGGCCAGCCTCAGTAGCTTAGTGAGACCCTGTCTYATAAAGGGTAGAGGATTGGGCTTCAGTTGTAAAGCACACTGGGTTCAATCCCCAGTACCAAAAAAATAAAAATGAAGAAGTAGTTTATAAAATACTTAGAAATTCTTGTCTTAGAATACCTCTATATCACTCATAAGAAAAGAAAACTAAGATCTAAAGATGTTGAGTAGTTTGAATCCAAGTTAATTAATCTAAAATATTAATGCAGTCTTCCATGTTTGAAAGACTGGAATTAATTTACTTGAGAAGTTTTTTTTATCAATTTATAAATYTTTACAGTATTGTCAGATATGTTGTTAACACAAGTTACTACAACTAATTTATGAGGTTRTTTGGGTAGGTTTTCATTCAGTCTTCTTTTGTAATACAATTGYCTATTTTTAAAAATTTGTTTTTAATTTTTTTTATTTGTTCTAATTAGTTATACATGACAGAAGAATGTATTTCATTTCATTGTACACAAATGGAATACAACTTTTCATTTTTCTGGTTGTACACGACATAGAATTGCACCATTATGCAATCATACATGTACCTAGAGTAGTGATGTCTGTCTCATTCCACCATCTTTCCTACCCCCATGTCCCCTTCCCTCTACTTCCTTTCCTTTGGCCAATCCACAATTCTTCCATTCTTCCCATGCTCCCTCCCCCGATTATGGATCTGCATTCACTTATCAGAGAGAACATTTGGCCTTCAGTTTTTTGGGATTGGCTTACTTTGCTTAGCATCATATTCTCCAAGTCTATCCATTTACCTACAAATGCCATAATTTTATTCTCTTTTAATGCTGAGTAATACTCCATTGTGGATATATGTGTAACACAGTTACAATTGCCTATTTTTAAGAAAAGTAAAATTTTTCTAGTGTTGTCTTTATCATTTTTATATGCATTAATAAGAACTTCTGTATTATTTTTTAATATTTATTTTTTAGTTGTGCTTGGACACAATACCTTTATTTATTTTTATGTGGTGCTGAGGATTGAACCCAAGGCTTCACATGTGCTCTACCACTGAGCTACAACACAATTTTTTCTGAAATTGTGTTTTTCAGTATTTTATTTTATTTCCTTTATTTATTTTGTGTGTACTGGAAATCTACCCTAGGGCATTGTGAATGTTAGGCGAACACATGCCCATAATTCCAGCCACTCTGGAGGCTGATGCAGAAAGATCTAGAATTTGAGGCCAACCTGAGCAACTTACCTGTCTCTAAAAATAAAACCAAGGAAAATAAATAAACAAATAAAAAAAATGACTAGGAGTGTAACTCAGTGGTAGAGCTGCTTGCCTAGCAATACATGAAGCTCTGATTTCAGTCCTTAAAACAGCAACAACAAAAAAGAGAGATAGAGAATTTATTCTTAAGTACCATTTGGAGAAAAAATATTGACAAGATTATGGTTATCAAATAGCCAATAAAATAAATTGTAAAGTATATAAATAGCCAATAAAATAAATTGTAAAGTATGGTATAGTATGATAAAATTAATTATAAATATAAGAGACCATGAAAAAGTATAATTCTTGAACCAATGGTAAACCTTATGTTAACTATTATCTAGTGAGAACTATGAGCAAGTATCAAAAGGTCTTACTTTGGCAGATCTGACGAAATATATAGACCTTATGTAGTATACATAATATATAGATTTAACATGATTAGAATCAGAACTAACACACATGAAAAATTAGTGGTCATTGCTAAATTCTTTCATTGTGATTGTGAATGTAACTTATAGTAGGCCCAGCAATAGAGATTTAAAAATATATTCTAGCTATGTGCAGTGACTCATGTCTCTAATTCCAGTGACTCTGGAGGATGAAGCAGAATGATCACAGGTTCAAGTCCAGTCTACACAATTTAGCAAGACCCTATCTCAAAATAAATAGAAAGGGGCTGGGGGTATAACTCAGTGGTACAGCATCCTTGGGTTAAATCTTCAGTACCATAAAAATAAATAAGCAAATAAATTAACAAATAGGACTGAGGATATAGCTCAGTGGTAAAATTCCTTTGGGTTCAATACCCAGTATAAAAAATAAATTATATATTCATAGATCTGGAAATGTATGTAGGCTCAGTGGGTCCTGGATTCAAGCTCTAGTATCAAAATATATAATAAAATAAAAATACAGTCTGGGGAATAAAAGGCAAGAAAACACAATCATAGTGTCAGGAGATTTGATGCCACAGTAGAAACACAAACAAAATACAACTGGTATACAAAGCAAGAGCAATAATGATACAGAGAAAAGAAAATTAGTGTAATTTAGATTAGTCATATAGGCTTAATTTATAAAATAAACAAAACCAGGCAATGTAGTATCATGTTTTTATCGCCTGATGTCTTTTTCAGGAATTTGTATAATATTTTTCTATTTTACAAAATGATATTACAAACCACACAAAGCTGTTTATAAATCATATGTGAGTATGCCAAGGGTTTCTCTTCATATTGTAGTGTGCTAATTATAAACTACATTCAAAGCCAGACATATTTGAACAAATAAGATAACTAGTTTATTTATTGTATTGTACAGAAATGGCTTATAGGAATAATTAACACTTTCTAAACATACAGATTAAAATTTTTCATTAAATGTAATATTAGTTTTGATTTTTTTAACACTTTTTCTTTTGTTATTTCTTACTAAGGGTCAACTGTATTTGTTGGTAACAGACCAGGGATTTCTTACTGAAGAAAAAGTTGTTTGGGAAAGCCTGCACAATGTAGATGGTGATGGAAATTTCTGTGACTCAGAATTTCATCTTCGGCCTCCTTCAGATCCTGAAACTGTATACAAAGGACAACAAGATCAAATAGATCAGGTAAGCTTATTTTGCCTTTTTTCATATTGTTTAAAATATTCTTTTCAAATGTCAATTTGGTTATCCAAATTTTTTGAATTAGATTCATTCTTAATTTCCTTGTGAGGTTTTCCTGATACTTCCTAAATAGGTAAGTGATCATTCTATATGTACATTAATTATACACTTTGGCACAGAAGGCTTGATCATATTAAAATGTGAAGATCATGATAAGGAGTTTGAATTTATTCCAATTGCAGTAAGGAAGCTATGCCAATTATTAAATATGAAAGTGACATGATCTACTGAATTTTTGTTTTATTATTTTGTACTGGGGATTGAACTCAGGGGGACTTTACCACTAACCTRCATCCCCAGTCTTTAATATTTTTTATTTTGTGTCTTACTAAATTGCTGAGGGTCTCACTGAGTTGCCTATACTGGCCTTGAACTTTCCACCCTCCTGATTCAGCCTCCTGAATTACTGGGATTACAGGCTTGCTGCACTGTGCCTGACCTGGGTATTCACATTTTTAAGAAACAGAGGATGTGTAGGAAGGACAGGGATGTAAATAGAGACCAACAGTTCAAGCAAGAAGAAATGAAGAGATTAAGCACATATTTGAAATATATTTTGACTAATCAGGGCAGAAAAGAGGGACTCTAGAAGATAGCATATACTGGGCAAAGAGTAGTTAGGTTTTCTAAGAAAAGGAGGAGCAGACACTGCAGAGGAGCCCTAAGCAATAAAACTTTCATTTAGAACTGAAACAAGATTTTTGCCTGCTATAGGCGGGCAGTTTTGGAGCTAAAGTGTGTTTATTACTTAAAATATGACAATGATATTAATTCTTCCCTGCTGAGGCATAAATATGGTTATGTTAAACTATGAACATAAATTTTGATAATAACAATTTAAGTGCATAGAGACTGTTCATTAGCTAATATTCAATGAGAAGATGTATTACTGGAACTATAACTAGGTCCTGCAGATACAAAGATAAATCATAGCCAAGTGTGGTGTCGCTTGCCTGTAATCCCAGTGACTTGGGAGTCTAAGGCAGGAAGATTGCAAATTCGAGTCCAGCCTGGGCAACTTAGCAAGACCCTGACTCAAAATAAAGAATAAAAAGTACTGAGGATGTAGCTGAGTGGTAAAGTGCCCATGGGTTCAAACTCCAGTGCATTTAAAAAAAAAAACAAACAAAACAATGGTGGGGCTGGGGTTGTGGCTCAGTGGTAGAGCACTTGCCTAGCATGTGAGAGGCACTGGGTTCGATTCTCAGCACCACAATAAATGAATAAATGAATAAAGGTCCATCAATAACTAATAAAATTTTTTTTTAAAAATCATTCAGTCCTGTCCTCAAAGGTGCTACAATAGCAGAGGGAGCAGAAATTGAACCAACTATTATTGTATATTAAGTTCTATAAGAGTAATTTGAATAGCAAGCTATGATGCATAGAAAATATTTGATTTCAACCAATAACTTCTACATATATATTCTTCAATAAATATATAATATATTTAGATAAGTATATAATTATGAAAAAAATGTTTATTTGGAAAAAAAGAATACTTGATTTCAACAAATGTTAATCTTCCTACGACTTTTGACTTTTTTTTTTTTTAAATAGCTTTGATAGTAAAGGTACTCATTTTCCTTCAGATGCCATAAAGAATTATATAGCCTCCATATAGAGGCTTAAGTAATAAAGAGAAATGTGTGAAATTTTTGTAACAACTATATGTAAAAATTAATAGGGCAGAGGAAATGAATTTGTAAGGTGTTGTGATTAGTGTCTGTGGAAATAGCAAGAAGGGAGATTCAAAACTATGGGACTTGGTAAAGAGCAAGTTGGAAACTGAAAAAATTTTGAAGGACAAACTCTTAATATTAGTAAGATACTCACTCATGAGTAAGTAGTATAAGTTCTTCATAGGAATGACCTTCTACATGTCCTCTAAGTTACTTAAATTCTSGTTTTTGAGGGTAGATGATAGGTGCACAAAATAGTTTTCTTTCAGCGCCAAAGTGGGTTTTAAGTCAGATAATAAAACTCTTTTTTTTTTTTTAATACTGGGGATAGAACTCAGGGCACTCCATCACTGAGCCACCTCCCTAGCCCTTCTTTATATTTTATTTAGAGTCAGGGTCTCATTGAGTTGCTTAGAGACTTGCTAAGTTGAACTTTTGATCCTCCTGCCTCAGTCTCCTGAGTCATTGGGATTACAGGCATGCACCACCACACCCAGCTTTTAGGGTTTTTAAAAAAGATTTTTTTTATGACATTAAATGGAAAAGAAAATGTTGTAATAGAGATGGGAGATGTTGAGTTTGTATGTGAACGTAGAAAAATATGGGGTTAATATATACTGTTTATATATATGTATGTATCTATATACTGTTAACAATAGTTATCTCTAATAATATTTTGGCCACATAAAATTTTCTTATCGTTTTTTGAAATTGCTAAATGCATGTGTTCCCTTTGAAAATAGCGGAGTTTTCTTCTTTCTTTTTTTTTTTTAAGATCTTTTCTATGTACTCCCCCAAAGAACCCCAAACCCTGTATTTTTTTTTTTTAAGAGAGAATTTTTTAACATTTATTTTTTAGTTATCGGCAGACACAACATCTTTGTATGTGGTGCTGAGGATCGAACCCAGGCCACATGCATGCCAGGGGAGCACGCTACTGCTTGAGCCATATTCCCAGCCCCTTTCTTTCTTTCTTTCTTTCTGTTTTTTTTTTTTCGGTACTGGGAATTGAACTCAGGGGACTCAACCACTGAGCCACATCCCTAGTCCTATTTTTGCATTTTATTTAAGACAGGGTCGCATTGAGTTGCTCAGCACCTCAGCCTACCAAGCCACTAGGATTACAGGCATGTGCCACCGCTCCTGGCTTTTTTTATTTAAAGCTTTCTTGAATCTTTTTAAAAATATTTTTTAGTTGTAGATGGACACAATGCCTTTATTTTATTTACTTAATTGTTTTGTGGTGCTGAGGATGGAACCCTGTACCCCACATGTGCTAGGCAAGCACTCTACCACTGAGCCACAACCCCAGCCCTTTTGAATATCTTATTTATTGCTTCTAGAAAGAATTTCAAATGAGTTCCTAAAATATTTTAAACAATGATGACATCACTGAAATAAGTGCTTAGCTCCCCAAAGGAAATATTTGGCAATATAACTCATTTTAATATTTAAACTCTGATGGGTTTTTTTTTTATTGGTGCATTATAGTTGTACATAGTCTGATAGGTTTTTCTTTTTTAAAGCCATTCTCAGAGCTTCATGAACACAACATCTATATTCATATTTATTAGTTCTTGAGTGAAATCTCAAAACTAAAAATGGTTATAATTTAATTCCTTAGGACTATCTTATGGCATTATCTCTACAACAAGAACAGCAGAGTCAAGAGATGAATTGGGAACAAATCCCAGAAGGAATCAGTGATTTGGAACTAGCAAAGAAACTTCAAGAGGAAGAAGACAGACGGGCTTCTCAGTACTACCAGGAACAAGAACAAGCAGCAGCAGCTGCTGCTGCTGCTACTACTACTGCTAATACACAGGCCCAGGTAAAAACAGCGTTGTGATTCTTACTGGGGATATAGCTCAGTTGGTAGAGTACCAGYCTCGCATGCACAAGCCTTGGGTTCAATCCCCAGAACCACCAAAAAAAAACAAACCAAAAAAAAAAAATTGTTGCGATTCTTAGATATAATCATCACTTTAGCAATAAAAAGTCTCTGCTTGAGGTAATAAAAAAAAAGTTAATTAGGAACTGACTTTTGAGTTATGTTAGCATCTTAGTACCCATGGATTTTTTTGACATTGTCCTAAATTTGTGGTTATCCTAATAATTTCTTATGTATAATTATTTTTCTGGAGATTCTGAATGCAAGATTTTTTTAAACTTATTTTTTAGTTCCTTACAGCTGAAACAAAACAAAACAAAAACCAGAAACCATTTGCTTTCTGTGAGGTAAATGTAATCTGAGTTATTACTGGAACCAGATAGTTGTTTATATTTCCTGCTTATTTTTTCTCTTCCTAATTGCAATACCCTGGACAATAACTCTCTTAACCTCATTTTCCTTCTCTGTGAAATAAAAGATAATACTCTTAGATTCTGGTGAAGAATTTAAAATGTTAGCACTTACCCCAATGTCTATGACATATACTAAGTATTCAGTGTAAGTCAGCACATTTCTACTCCTCACTCCCTCAGTTAATGTTTAAGCACTGAAAATAAGATGATTATGTGGGTTTCTAGATGTTAAATCTTATTTTTTTCAATCAAAAAAGTATTCTCCTTCTTTTATATTATCTGTACCATGTCAGGACTGTTCCTTTTGATCGGGGTATATAAGAAAGCAAGATGGCCTTTAAGGTCTGATGAAACTAAATATAGAATTCTTTTTTTTTTTTAAAGAGAGAGTGAGAGAGAGAGAGAATTTTTTAATATTTATTTTTTAGTTCTCGGTGGACACAACATCTTTGTTGGTATGTGGTGCTGAGGATCGAACCCAGGCCGCACGCATGCCAAGCAAGCGCGCTACCGCTTGAGCCACATCCATTAGAATAAGTGTAAAATTGGGCCAGGGTTGTGGCTCAGTGGTAGAGTGCTTGCCTAGCATGCATGAGGCACTGGGTTCAATCCCCAGCACCACATAAAAAAATACTAAATAAAGGTATTGTGTTCATCTACAACTTAAAAAAGTTCAAAAAAAAAATAAGTGTAAAATTTATTTCTAGATCAAATATTGAGTACCCCAATCTTAATAACTAAATCCTATCATGTTATAATTAGTTTTCTTATTTYATAGACTATACTTATTCACACTCAATTCTCACGATTTTTTTTTCCTTTTAAAATCTGTTTTAGTATTTAATGAAGTATTGAAGAACTATTATAGTTAACCAAAAGGCTAATGTATTCTTATAGTTCTTAAATTAAAAACTTATGTTTTAGGAATTCCATTTATTTGGAATAATACATTAATTATATCTATCCAGAATGGTATATTAACCATRTTACAGATACCCTGTAATAATAACAAATTTGCGTACCAGGATGTTCTTTTCCCTTTGATGATGCCCTTCAATCTTGTGGCTATTCTTTCTAGCTATTCTTTCTAGATAACTGTGATAAAGCACCTTAGAACAGTTGAAATAAATTTTTTTTAAGAGAGAGCGAGAGAGGAGAGAGAGAGAGAGAATTTTTAATATTCATTTTTTAGTTCTCAGTGGACACAACCTCTTTGTTGGTATGCGGTGCTGAGGATCGAACCCGGGCCGCACGCATGCCAGGCGAGCGCGCTACCGCTTGAGCCACATCCCCAGCCCTGAAATGATTTCTTGCTGTGTGTTTTTCTTAAAGCTGGGCCAGCCGGCACAAGCCTCACCATCAAGTGGAAGACAATCTGGGAATAGCGAACGGAAACGAAAGGAACCTCGAGAAAAAGATAAAGAAAAGGAAAAGGAAAAGAATAGCTGTGTCATTTTGTAACAAGTACTAGATTCTGTTGGAATCAYCTATATGTGTTGAGAAACAAGACCACATGAGGAAAGGAAGAAAAACCGATAATACCGTCTGTGCCTGATTTCCCATTGGATTTTGTTCATGTTTTTCAGGGGAAAGGTTGTTACTTTGTTACAATCAGACTTCTTGAAGTCACACAATATACTCTTTATGAGCTGGAGTTTCATGTTACAAGTTGGAAATGCTGTGTTGTCATTCATGAAGAATACTGCACTTGTAGCCAAATAAGCAAATCACAGCGAATTTTGTGTCATAGTGACATTCATAATTCATATCAGTTAGTAAGCTATTTCATCTTCTAACAATGAATGGAGGTATTTGATTTAGTCTGATTCCTTCCTGAAATCTAAGTATTAGCACAATAGTTTCTGAAATTTTTGCAACCTTAAATTATGATCTAATCCATGAGAAACCAGGGGTTTAATATGGAATTTAAAAAAGAATAAATAAATAAATAAATAAATAAATAACAGGAATAAATGATCCTTAATTGTATATTGAACTAATTCAGCCCTTGAACAGCTTTATCTTTCTCTAGTAATGTACATTTTAGATATTAAGAACAAATAATGGAGCTTGGATTTAATTTAGATAGAAAAAAAATAAAGATTTGTATTTCTTTTCCAATAGCAAAAAAAAAAAAAAAATTATATAACACTAATACTTACAACCTGTCCAAATCACATATTAATGACTTTATAGTGTTGTGAAATTTTGAGGAATTTCTAAGTCGTTAAGTAGGTAATCTGGACCATAGTTACTATTTATTAACCATGTGACAAGTGAGTTTAAGGAGGAAACCACAGTGGATGCTAGGCCTTGTAAATATGAGAGTGTAGGAAAGTAGATAGTTCATTGTCTACCTTTTTTTAGAATTACCTTGAACCTTAAATTTTAAATCATGTTTATTACTAGAAAATTAAATTATTAAAAAACCAACAAAAAAGCACATTTCTATAAGAAGTAAAAGATAATCTCTGAGTCTAGTGAAAAGACATTAATAAAAATCAGAGTAGATAAGAGTTTAGAGGAATTTATGTAAAAGCAAGCAGATTTTTTAACTTATGAGAACCAAATAAACATAAAACATAGTGTTTATAGAATTCAGAAAAAAATATTTATTTAACTTTATTATGAGGCAACACATATTTTCCTGTATTTCTAGATATAGTTTGGACAACTATCCTTAATATCCTTTTTATATGCTTTATATTTAAAGTTTGTTTTTAGTCATTTTTGAAAAAAAAATGCTGCTGCAAATAGTATATAATTTACATTCTAAGCCTCAAAAAATGTGTTTATTTAGGAACATCATAACATGACCTGAGCATCCACTTGGAGARTATTTCTTGTGGTTTGGGGTGACAAAATTTTGACTACAAAAAAAGTGATCTAGAATTTTTTTTAAAGTTATATCATTAACTTTCTCTGTGATCCAAAACCAGTTATAGAATGACTCTATATGTAAAAAGTAAAGTCTTATTTATGGAAGGAATTATTCTGAGGGGAAATAAATCCAGGGCCAAGCATATCTTTTACATCCTTCTATTTTGCATGTCTATTTGTGTTAYATAATTTGTTATTTCTTCAGATTTCCTATTCTAGAATGATAAATCATCAGAGAACCTGTTTGGGGTATAAAACTTGGATACAAAATATTTGGTCTCTTGATTGTAACCCAGAATATCTGGACATTGGTAAAGTACAGATATACTATAGAACTCTACATTGGCTTAAACAGGTTGGTCTTAATCCGAGTTTACTCTTGATATCATTCTGTTGGTTGAAGGAGAAAACTCAAACCTCAAAGTTTGTTCTTCTCAGAATAAATAGTAGTGACAGTGCATTATATTTTAATAAAAAAAAAAAACTTGATAATTTACAAAAGTATATTTGAGGCATATTTTTCCATAATTATATACTTAGCTATTTATTACCCTTGAAGAATATATGTGTAGAAGTTATTTTTCTGTTGTTTGTTCCTATCTTCTTAATTTGTTCCAAAGATAATACTGCCATTCAGCATTCCCTCTAGAAGAAAAAAAAAATCACTCAAAACCAGCAATGCTGCTATAAGATAAGTAGATGTCAATGTGTACTTACGAGAAAAAATTTTTAAAAATGCAGTGTGTTTGTTAATTCAGTCTTTTTCTATGTAATATTTACAAATCAAACTTTATTACATTCCTGGAATTCAGTTTGATATACCAATAGTAATAATGATTAAATATTTACTTTGATTACTGTGAGGGAAAATTAAATGTTCAATTCTATTAAAACAAACTTGTCAAAGAAACTGCTCTCCTTGCAAATATAACCTTAAAGGTTACAAAGAATCTAGAGCAATTGTGTCTTTCTTTAATTTGCTCCAGGTAACAAATTATACATTCAGGCATTTCATTGCTGGTTTGCATTCAGAAGAATTTGATGTTAGTATTTTAAAGCAGTTTTTTTCCACAATATTTTTTAATACTTGAAATTGTTACATATACACTGCTACCAGAAATTAGAATTTAAACCTTTTTGATTTTAATATTTATAGAGTAGATCATGGGCACATTTGAATCAACCAAATCACTGTTAAGCTAGTAAAAGAGGCAGATGAATGAATGGCTGTGGTCACCATTTTTTCCTCTTGCTTTTGAAAAGAGTATTCCTTACATTTTTATTAACAATATGAATGAGCATTTTCTTGTCAAATCCCATTGCATCAACAATGSTGTGATTTACAGTAGTTTATTGATATTTACAAGCACTCATTGCATGTGCACATGTATGTGTATTTCTGAAGCAAGACGGCTTCTCAAAGCAATTTGGGAACTTTCCCTCAAATTTTAAAATCACCATTTTAAGAATATTTACACACCTGGACTGGGAATATGGCTCTATAGACTGGGAATATAATGTTGGAACATGCATGAGGACTGGGGTTCAATCCCCTGCACTACAACAAAAAAGGAAAAGAAAAAATATACATACACGGACATAGACTGAACAGGATAGTATAAAGCAACTAAAGTTTTCATTAGTTATATGCCCATCCAGTGTACTTAGGTAAAGAAACTTCCATGTTTCAAGGTCAAGTTAGTATTTGAATGAAGCAGAGATTTAAATTTAGGATTAGCTTTTGGAATGTATCTTGTTTTTATTGTCTTATATTTCTTGCACTTGTCTGCTTTTCCCATATTATGTTTTGATTTCTTCCTCATACATCTTGATCTTGGCTTAACAAAGCAAGTTAATATCAGAGATTAACTGACTGAACTCAACATTAACCATTTTGTACTTACACAAAACCTTCTTAGTATTTTGTTTTCAATGAATAACAAACTAAGTTAACTTAAGAGATAAGAGATCTTGAGAGGAAAGGTTAGAAGGCAAATAGTTKAGAATAGTTGTGGTCCCTACATTAATGTTGGCATATGCAGCAGATAGTTGTAAAATCCTGCTGAAGAAAAATTAAGGCAAGAATTTTCAGAATTGCCCTCAAAACATCTCATTTATTTAAATTTCCTTTTAAAAAGCAGTTTTGTAGTTTTGCTTAACATTCTTATTCATTGTATCAGTTATTTTAAAATATGATGGAAAGCTTATAGGTTTTACCTATCACAGTTCTTAGGCATGCTGGAAACTTACTAATGTTTAATAAAATAATCTGAAGGCCCTAAAGATAGTCCAAAATTTTGTATTTTAAGGAACTGGATATGTAGAATTCTGGATCATTTTGTATTTAAAAATCTAACTTTTTGTCTTGCCTTGGGCAAAGTTTCTGTGCCTCAGTTTACTCTTTAAATATGTAGAGAATGCCCTTTCTCACTCTCCTTCTCTCACTTTCTCACTCTCTTCTTTGTGCTTCACACTCCTGAATAAAGGGCATAGTATAAGCACAAAATATTACTTAAATTATCACAGATATTACACATCTTGGTTCTTGGATGTGCAGACTTTTTCCAATGACAAGTCCTTTTTTAAAAATACTGTCAAAATTCGTTGAATTATCTTGTCTTTGAGTATCGAATCATGTTTCCAAAATGTATTTTGCAGTTGCTTTCCTGTTCTGTAGACTAGTGTCAAAATCAAGAGTATTTGGGAACTATAAAAAGCATTTTAAAACCTATTTTT